CATTTTACCTTGTTACTTGTCGACAAATATTTTTCTCGTCTGTGTAACATGATGTGTCAGCGAACATGCATTTAAATATTTGTGGACAGTATTTTTTTTTTATCTATTTAGCGTTTTTGCATTTGTCGTGTTGATCGTAATTGTCTTGCACGTAGCAAACACGTCGTGGTCTCTGTCGAGCTCTCACCCCGGCATTTATCTTTAGAGATTAATCCCAGTCAGGGTACTTCCTCATTGTTGTCGGTCTCCTGTAATGTCCCTGGAATACATAGCTAATGACGTCCGACACACAGAGTTTCTTAAATATCTTCAAGTATTTCCTCGAGCACGTAGTCTTCATTACTTTATTATTCTCGGGGTCCCAACGAACCAGGAAATACCTGCAGTCTTTTCCAGCCGCAACCAGGGCTCGTCCTAGTCCAATGTGTACCGGTGGCATTTCCCGGGGAGTAAAGCGACTGCCGGAGCTCGACACTGACCACTCACCCCATCTAGTGCCGAAGTTAAGAATGATGAGCTATACTGCTTCTCCCCCACAATCGCCAACATGGCGTATAGCGGGAGAGCTATTTTTCTTTGGTAGTAAACATACGGGCACAAACCAATAACTTAAAGTAACGTAGTCTAAATTTTGATAATGCCATATCATCCAGCATTACTTGATTTAGTTAGTATGTACTGGTTGCGTTAACGCCATTACTAGATTTATTGAATTAGGTAGTGGAATTTCCTTTATACCAGATGAGGATGCAATTGTTTAAGTGATGCGTCTTACACCTTCCATGCGTTTGTCCCGGGCAGGGAATCCAATGTCCCATCGCACATCTGGCCTCAGAACTCTCAGTAAATATTTTTGACGAAATGTTTTATTGATAACTGTGGTTGAGGTATTGAACTGAAACAGTAGTAGGATTTTGAGTGTAGTTTGTCGTACGGGAGCCGGGATACCTCAGTCAGTATAGTGACTAGCTACGGGTTGGACGATCGGGGTTCGATCCCCGACGGGGGCAGAGGATTTTTCCTCTGGCCTCTGCGTCCAGACCGGCTCTGGGGCCCACCCAGCCTCCTCTACAATGGGTACCGGGGTCCTTTCCCGGGGGTAAAGCCGGCCGGGGCGTGATGCTGACCACTCACCCCCATCTAGTGCCAAGGTCAAGAAACAGAAGGAGCTCTCCCCCAAAACGACCTACATGGCATGTAGCGGCACGACTTTTTCGTTCTACACAAGTGAGACCTTCCGAGTTACTACTGGGTATTAAGGGGAACCTATGGGTGTGTCGTAATGAAATTAATAAACTTTAACAGTTGTTTAATCGTCATTAACCAACCAGTTTTGAATTTAGATTGATTATTTTCAGAGATATAGTGGTTGTGTTAATGGCGCTTGGACGAGCGGTCACGAAATACTAGAAACTGAATATTGTTGTCTGGGAGAAAATTCGGGCCATAACAGAAGGTGGGTTGCTGCAGTGAACCGGTCAACACCCATCAGTCTGTCTGCTCGGTACAGAGTATTGCCCACTGTCGACTTATCGATTATTACACACGATTAATCGCGCGTGCGCGAGATGTCTTCCGATAACATCATCTTCATTTACTCCTAACATTTTGTGGTTTACTGATGAAACCACTCTATAGATAAATAGGGGCCCAAAATTTGATAAAGAAAATGTCCCCAACCCATTTTGTTATTTCGGTCGGCTAACGTCTTTAAAGTATATTCAGCTGCATTAGACTTCTGGTTTTGCATGGAATTTTACTTTGAGTATTAGACCCATGGAAGACATATCGTTATTTGCTTTCAAGCATCTACCCACTTGTACACTTCATAGAACCAACATTTGCTATTTATAGCACTCGCACTTTGTTTTACCACAATGACCGAAGAACTGTTAACCCTTCAAAGCATAACGGTAAATGCTATACCACCCGCTTTCACAATCAGTAATTCTAAGGTTTTCGCACAGGGTGTATGTAACGGTTTCGTAAACAGCTAATATTTTCTTAAAAAAATTAAGCAATCAACGTATGTTGTGGTTATTTGCTATTTTCTAGAAGATACTTGGCGTAATTTTGTCACAGTTCAGTATCAGAAAATATAAACGGAAAATGTGATTCGTCATAGCTGAAGCAAAAGTGCGTAAGATTATTGTCTAAAGGTCGAATAAACCATAGAACACAAGTAGACTAACCTGTTCAGAGCTTGTTGGAACAACGGCAAATAGCAGATAGTTTCGTTATTGAATTAAGTGAAGAATAAATTTGGACAGTGCGTGTTTATTATTCAGTTAAAAAGCAAAAGTTTTGTAAAACACTGCTGGATCAAGAGATACGAAACTAAGTCACTTACTTTGAGGAAAACACGTAAGTTACAAGTGTTTACAAAGTGTTCAGTAAAATATTTAGTCTAAGGGTTGTGAACTTAGCGGGGATTTTAGAATCTTCGTTATCCCTGCAGGTCACCTAGTGTTGTTTTTAGGTACAATTAACTGGAAATGTAGTTTAGATAGCGAACACTAAAAGTGCATATAGGATTTTTATGGAGAGCAACCATTTGGAGGGAGAATGGAAAATAACATAAAGATGGCTGCCTTGTGGGGTGTTGCCCTGTGTAGTCTGGTAGAACTTTTCCGTTGTTTTAAAGGTACTTGGTGCCTTCATCGTTGAGGAAAACGTCAGTAACCTGCTATTACACTACAGACTGCTACATCCCAAAAGGCAATAATTTTCATACTCATTGTTATGAGAACCTAAAATTTAACGACGATTAAGATGGATCTAAAGTATTTAAGCTGTGAGATGAGTAGATGAATGAAGATTCAGAATTACGTCCATTGGTGGACTTTAGTATTAACAAATGTTGCAGTTTTGCTTTTAATTTCAAAACTGAGTAGAAGAGGTTATGCAATTTGCCCCTTTTTCAAATAAGACTACTGGTGGTACTGAAGGCTGTTTCAAGCATGTCCAACTGAAACTTGGATTTCAGTTATGAAATAAATGTTTTGTTAATACATTTCAGAAGAATGGGAGGACTTGAAATTCAAATTTTTTTTAAAGCACTTGTTAGTAAGAAGCAGTTTATAAATATGTTGAAGATTTTCTCATAAGAAATTATTAAACATTATTAATGATGATGTTCTTCTGGGATTTGGGGCTGACTGGTCAGTAGATGCCAATGTTATTTATTGTTAACACACCAACACATTCAAGATGCTGTCATTTCTTATCTCCCACCATTTCATTAATGAAAGTTACATGTTATTTTAAGGATTAACATTTGATAGGCTGCCATGTTGTTTTATATATATATATATATATACTGATTATTATGGAAAATGATCAATTAATATTAATGTACATAATTGAATCTTGAAGTGAACAGGTTAACCACAGTCATTTCATTAAAAATAGTTTAAAGTGACTACAAAATAATAAAAATTATATATTAAATATTTACAGTGAAGTTTGTTAATGAAAATACATACTCATATGGAATAGGTAAAATTTCTAATCTCGTTAACAGTTTTATACATAAATTTCTAGGTGTGGCAACAGCCATAAACCTAACAATTATCTTTTAAAAATGATATATCATTTTACTGTTAAATGAATTACCCACCAAATTTATTCCATGTTTCATTATGAAACGGAAATAGGCAAATAAATTGAATGTCAATGTCACTGATTTAAAACATCAGTCTGCACAACTTGCTCCACATAAAACAGTAACTTGGGTCCATGTACATAACCTATCTTTTTATCAACAACAGAAGATGGTAATAATAGCTGATAAAAATAGGTGTGTAGATGGATCCAAGTTATTATTTTAAACACTATGCTACAGTGGGCCTCAAATTAAGAATAGGGAGCATTTGATCAATGTTTTTTTTTCACTGTAAGTGGTTATCAATTTATAATTCAAGTTTTTATTTTCTGATTCTTCTATGTACTCTCCATTGTAACCAGTATTTGATACATATTGTGGCGAATTATTATAATTTTTTTTAAATAGGTTTTATCTGGATAACAATATAAATACAATAAAGAGGACACAGAAGTTTTACTAGAAGCTAATGAAAAGGTGGGACTAGAAATAAATTCAGAAAAATCTAAGTACATGTTAGTATCTTGTCAGCAGACAGGTGGGCAAAATCATATTATGGTGGCTAATAAATTCTTTGAAAGTGTGACAGAATTTAAATATTTGGGAAAAACAATAACAAATCAAAATGATATTCATGAGGAAGTTAGGAGGAGACTAAATTCTGGAGGGAAAAGACCACTGGGGAGACATTGACGCAAATGGGAGGATAATATAAACTACATATGGGAATTAGGAATTGAAGGCAATTATATTGGATTAGTTGGTTTTGTCTAAATTAAGAGCCACCTTGTTAAGAGCAAGCCATTTACTCATGAGGAACAAGTAACTTTGGCATTGTACAGAAATTATCAAAACTTTTTACTATAAATTATTACAGTGGTGTTATCAGTTAATATAATGGGTTCTGAGAAGGTGATTATTGTTGGAAGTTCATTTATATGTCTATAAACCAATATCGTGTAACGCAAAGGCCCTAGCACTGACCCGTTCTTCAGTTTAATACAAAATTGTGAATTGCATTTAAAGTCCTCACTTCAGTTTTTGTCTTTTATTTGTGAGGTAGTATTCTGATCCAGTTTGAAACTGTTTCTTGAATGCCATAAAAATATAATTTCGCTAATAAAATTGTATGATTTGCATAGTCAGAAGAATTTGCTGCAGTTTTATGTTGAGAATTTACAGTTGTGCCTCATTTCTGTGTTAAAAAAGATGTAAATGTTTTTCGAACTATTTCTCCGCTAAAATAATGTAGAAATATTATCTTACCGACTCATACGTCGGAAGCACATTATATTTTAGTCAGTTCCAAATTATAGTCTAGATTGTAGCACATATCACGGAAGAATATTAACTCTACTTTTCTTTGAAAGATGGCAGCTCTTGTATTTCTAGTTACAGTATCCGGGAACTTCACCATAGTAGACATGGCGGGTATTAACTTTCGTGAATGACGGTAATTGTAATAGAATTATTGCCAGAAAATTGTGTACTTGTGATTGCTTAAGCTTAACAACGCAGTTTGATGTTATTTAAAATTTAGTAAAGTTAAAAATGCAGAATGTAGCACAAGGATCCACTACAGATAACCAAAAGCTTGAAAAAGTAAACGTTCAGCACGATATAGGGAAATCGTCGACTCCCATATCTTCTAACTCTAGCCCGACGAAGTCTGAAACAGAGACATTTTCAGAATTACAACCAAGATTTATGACCGATTCATCGGAAAGTGAAGAGGAGGACGTGTCTGAGGTAATACTGTCGTTTTGTAATAATTTTATAGATGTACGAGTGGCCTCGAGGAGACTAGGTTTCAATGAACTTCGCCGAGAGACATCTTGTGGCATAGTAATGTCCAGAAGACAATGTAGGCCTAGTAGAAGAACGAGACTAGTGAAATAATTTCGCAATAGTTCCTAGTCTGGTAAAGATAGAGTGTTTAAATTTGTCTTAAAGCTGTTCGTAAGTGTTAAATGTAAAGTGAAATAATTATAGTGCTTTTATTCCAAGATATGAGTAAGGTAAGGGCTTGTATAAAGAAAATGGAATGGTGTTACTTTGGTATTCTGATTCATGTTAGGCGTATTTGAATTGTTTTATTTTCTTATTTTGTGTTAATTAATAATAAAAATCCGTCTATAGAGAAAGGACCAACGCCAAGCAGAATTATTTGACTTATGTTGTATATAATGCCAGTTAGTGAAATGTAGTGGGTTTCTTGGATCAGGCAGCCATGTAGGCTTAGTGGCAAAGTGCAAATACTTCCTGTGCATTGCAGACAACCAATTTAGCACAAATCTATGCAGTAATCGTAAGTATGAATATGAAAATTGTGTAAGGTGGTAGAGGAATCGATTACTTGGTAAAATAAAGCTAAGTTTGAGTGAAATGTAGTTATGATTTATAGAAGTGGGCTATATTCTCAACATGTAGTGGAAATTTGTGGTTTCAACAGGATGGTTTTTATCATACATTTAATGTCACAATCAGAATATTGATTTTCCAAATCATTTGATTCTGTTTGAAATGGCATAGACCACAAAATTAAGGATATGTAACTTTTCACATTTTTGGTGTCAAGTGAGTTAATGTTAGACATATGATATTGGATTAAAATTGATAACTTTTGCATTTTATTAGTGTGTAATCATAAATTTAGGAGAAAACATATTACCTGTGATGTTTATGAACTTGTGTGTGGGATATAGTTGATTATTTTGGAGCGTGGTTCTTCATTGTGTATAGGGTTGCTGAATTATAAAGTAAAGTTTGACATTTAGAACACAATTAATTTTCATTTGCAATGTGTATCATCATTCTTGCAGAGAATTACTCCCGATGCTCTTTTGAGTCTGGCAAATATAAGTTAACATTAAAAGAATCACTTTATTGTTTACATGAGTGACATGATATGTGAGATGACATTTAATATTCATAAGAGAAAGCTTTTGGACTTATTCTTCAGAGTATGTATTTGTATTGGTACAATATTCTTATTTCTTTAAAGTCAGGAAAATTGTAACTGAAAGAACACTTTAGAATGTAGAACATGTTATAGCGCAAGTACGGTAATTACATAGTCATGACAGTAATTTACAGTCAACTATAGTATTACCACAAAATAATTACACAAGAAAGAATAACCACTACTGCTTAAATGTATTTAAATAGCAGAGAATATTTGGTTGAAGTAAATTTTTCTATGGAGTGGGAGTGAAATAGGACATACTCTTCTAGTGCTAGATTTCTTTTGTAAGGTAAATATGCTTTTGCCATTAGATGAGTTACCCAAAAATTATTCTGTACTTTATTGTAGAGTAAAAATTAGTGAAGTAAATTTAAATGTGTTGATCTTACCAATATTCAAGTATTGATTTAATTGTGTAATGTACTCCATTTAACTGCAGAATCATCTGATTGTGTGATTCTTCCATTTTAAGTATCTGTCAAATTACAAACATAGGAATTCGGGTTTTACCGACTCTTATACTTTACTTATTGTGATGAAATATTTCTTATCATAGGTATTGTTTAGATTTAGAGTCAACTTAATTAGCAGTAAACCATTTTCTGATTGACAAAACAGAATTTGCTGTTTTACTGAAATCAACATATTTATTATAGATGGCACTAGTGTCATCTGTGAATATTATGGGCTCAGATATATTAGAATTCTAGGGTTATAGAAATTGTAGTTATAGACATGATAGAATGAGTGAGTAAATGATTTAATGAATTGTAAGTTGAGATGATTGGGGGAGAACAAATAAATTAGTATGTCTTCACAAAATGTTAATCAGTAGTATCAGGTGATCTAGAATGTTTGGTGTGTTTGGTGTTTGGCTAGCAGGTACAAATAAGACCACATTTTGATGACATCTTAGAAATGTTTAGTATGTCACTATGATTGTGATGGTCTGGTAACTGTATAAAAGTTAGATGAGGCACAGGTTGGTCATTATATTATAAAATAGTCCTGCCTTATATTTTTCTTGATTCTCAGAATTCATATTGAAATATCTGTAACTAGAAGGCACGTTTAAAATTAGCCATGGTAAACTTATATTATAACTAGGACATACTTTACATTTCCATTACACCAGAGATTTCATGATGAGTGATTATAAGTAATACATAACAGAATATTTCCCATGTCCATATTCAGCTTTAAATAATGATTTTAATGTGAATGTGCTGCAGCATAGATGAACAGGCAGTTAATGGAAGTGAAGACATTCAGATACAAGTTTATTCAGGGAATAAAAAAGAAATCCAAGAATAGAATGAAAATTGATGACACATCATTTACAGTTTCTTTTCATTTTTTAATACTGGAACTGTTTACAGTTTATTTTAATACATGCTTTTGGACACCATTTTATGCCTATGACATTTATAATGCTTTGTGTATTAGGACTGCGTAGAGTTTATTTTAATACCTACTTTGGGACAGTATTATATGCATGTGGCATCTGTCATACACCATTATAGCCAGGAAGGATGGCTGTTTGTATTGCTGTCTTTCTTCTTTTTTATGTTTATTTATAGATAGTCATAGATGTTTTCAGAAAAGAATATTGACAAGCTGCTAATTTATTTCTGTTTGATGTAGTGCATCTGATAGAATAAGGTTGGTTGTACAGTACACATGGGACTTGTAAAAGTTCTCCCATGAAGTAGGGAATTTTCTCTTTGCCACTGTGTCCAAACTGGCTCTGGGGCCCACCCATTGGCAGAAATATGAACAGCAGTAATGCTAATAACAAAAGCAGTCACAACAGCCGCTAATAATAATAACAGTAATGGGAACAACAGATAGTTAAAATAGCCTGCTTGCAAAATTTAATTTAATGAATGAGCCTGATGGCCTGAGCAGAGCCACTAGATAGTTATAGGATTTGAGGTTTTAACATCGGTGAGTCTGAAGGTTGCTGTCTTCTGGGTTATTGCCCCACTAGGTAGTTGACAGCTGAATGTACACATTGGTGTCTGCATTAAGTTTGATTTTGTGCGGATGTACGTGGAACATCTGTTTTTGCACCAGCTGATAAGGGACTGTGAAAGAAACATAAAACTGAAAAAATGATATTTTTCTGTGAGTTTGGAAACGACAGTCATTACTCAGTATCAGTAGTGGATCATTCAATCCAGCCTGAACACCAGTACTGCTCTGAGGTAACAGTTTGGGAGTCACTGATTTAGATGAAAACAGTGGTCCCTTGGTTAATGATGAAAATTGAATCCATGAAAACCATCATTAATTTAAATTATTATTAAGAAGTACAAAATAAGAAATATAGGAAATATATGAAATTGGGGACCATGTGGTATCATAAAACATGTCATTAATCAAAAATTGATTGCTAATAGGAATGATAAGACCCTATGAGAGGTGGATAATTAATTTATGGTATCATAACTGAGGGACCACTGTTACACACAAGTAATAGATCAATGGAAAGACATTTTGGAACCAAGAGAAAATATTTTTCCATCCAAATACAGTGTCAGGTGTATAGGCACAATGATATATGGCTCTGTGGATATGTATACAGTTTAACTGTACACATTATGTTGCTTTTTGGTTTGTTTAATAATGCTTTATCTAATGCTTATATGGTAAGTATACTGTTGACATATACTGGATTTCAGTGTGACAGAGAATAATTTAGAGGTACACTTAGACAACTGCAGTCTTTTGTTCTATCAAGTTTATGAATTGCTGCTGGGGTGTACACAATTATACCACCAAAAGAATACAGATTAAGGGAAAGGTTTCATGTATAGAATTTAATAGAAAACATTTATGATTATCAAGAAAACTAGAAAGAAATGTAATGTGATGCAGAGAAATAATTGCCAAGGTTGACATTATACTATAAACCTGCTGGCCAAAGAAAAAGTGATTATTGTAGAAACAGATGAAAGACCAATTCTTGTATGGGAGTTGATGGAACAGGCTTTATAAGCCTAAAATCCAGCTTGTTCAAAAATATGAAGATGAGTGTTCATAAAGTCTCAGTCTGTGTCATTGGAAATATTTTTGTTTCAAAACAATTACATGGTTCTTCACATAACCAAGAATAAAATAACACTGAACAAAATTGTTTATCTCCTGTGTTTTCAGTAAAGTTTCACAGTCACATTTCACATTAAAATGTCTCTATCAACATTAAGTTCCGCACAGTTTATTTTGCTGAAGCTTTGGGAAAAAGTTTACTTGGGGTCATAGCTTTTTGACCCTCCCCAGTTTGTTGTTGTGCATGACATTTGTTAAAATATTTAATAATTCCTTCATTACACATGACTACTCTGTATTTCACTAAGTTTATTTGGTTGCCAGGCTCACTGCTTTGCCAGGGATGCACTTAGATTTTAATTTATCATTGGACTTCTAGGCAATTATATATGCAAGCAAAAGTAAAAATATTTAAATATTAGTCCAACCATCCTTGTTCCTTCTCTGTGAATCAATACATAACATGGGTGGGATTTTTTTATTCCAGTTTCACATTTTATTTTGTGCAGTTAAATATAGTAAATATGTTGGAATAAATTACTTCCTCCCTGGTTTGTGACACGATTGTCCTTTCTCAGGTAAACTTTCCCATTTGAGGGATTGCTGTTCTTGGTTATTTTTCATTGAATTGAGGTAAGCAGTGGTAGCTGAGGCTGTTCAGTGACTGGGTGTGAGATGTATGACAAGGTTGATTCCTGGCAGGAGTATAATTTTTTTTTCTGTGACATAATTG